ATTTTGAAAAATGGAGTCAGTTAAAATTGAGGAAATCTTCAGGACACCTGGGTGGCTCAGTGGTTGAGCATCTGCCTTTGGCTCAGGGTGTGATCCTGGGTTCCCAGGATCGAGTCCCACATCAGACTCTCTGTGAGGAGCCTGCTCCTCCCTCTCCCTATGTCTCTGCCTCTCTCTGTGTCTCTCATGAATAAATAAATAAAATCTTAAAGAGAATTGAGGAAGTCTTCTAGGTAAGTTTTTATTGACATAAGCGGGGACTTAATGTTTATATGTATTTCTTAAGATACACTGAATTGAGAATGGTGCATTTTTTTCTGGCTCAAATTTTTTTAAAGTTTTTTTTTTTTTTTTAGATTTTATTTGTTTATTCATGAGAGACCTAGAGAGAGAGGCAGAGACATAGGCAGAGGGAGAATCAGGCTCCATGCAGGGAGCCCGATGAGGAACCAGATCCCAGGACCTGAGCTAAAGTCAGATTCTCAACCACTGAGCCACCCAGGGGCCCCTCTGGCTCAGATTTAATGAGTTTTGTGGTTACATTGTAGAACAAAGATAATATATTTGATTGAGATATGGCATTATGAAAAGTTTCTGCTTCCAGTCCTGTAGAAGACCCAGCCAGATCTTTTCATTCCTCTTTCCAGGGTCTGTAAATCCTAAGCCTGCTGCGTTGCTTTCCTGCCAATGAAATGTTGTAGACAGTCCAGTTAGATTTCTTCTGTTGTTGTTTGTTTATTTAATTTGGAAGATAACTCTCAAGTATACTGAGTCACAAAAGACTTCAAAGTTCAGAAAAGTATTTAAATGTGGTTATTTTTCAACTCATGGAAAGTAGCACTTTGGTTTATGTAGGACATCAGGGAAACAGATTAACTCCACAAATGGGGTGGTGGGGGACAGTTTTTCACTATGCCTAGTAGCAAGGCAGGATTTTTAGGAGTCAAAGGCAATGTCTACTACCTCTCTCTGTCTGAAAATATTTATTAAATAAAAGCTAACAATTCAATGTTTAATTTAGCTTGTCTTTGAGACTACTGCTCCCAAAGGGCTTACTGCCCAGTAGGTGAGCCCAACAAGGAAAGAGGTAAATATTATACAGATTCACAAGCTTCAACAGGGTGTTATGGGAGACCATGGAAGGGACACCTAATCTAGTTTTGGGGATTAGACCTTCCCACCTGCCCTGAATGAAATGTATGATTGAATAGTGCCATCTAAATGAACGATAAATAATGCAATTTAGGGTGAGAATTATCTAACCTATATTTAGGTTTATTTGGTTTAAGGTAAGAGTCTAGCTGCCTAGCAAGAGAAAGCACAAATCAGTTTAGTTTACTTTTATGGGTACCTTGATGAAAACATAGCAAATTATCTTATCTTTTAAAAAAATGCTCTATGCAGAATTAAGAGTGATCATGATCAAAGATCAAATAAGCTCTCCAGAGAGCAAAATCTCTTTCTTAATGCAGTAAGTAAGAAGTGAGAAGAACTGGGGAAGAATGACTTCAACACAACTAAAGGATTGAAGACTTCACACTCAACACTGGTTTTATGATATTTTTTCTTGTGATAGTTTTGTGGTGGTTATATTTTAAGAATATTTCCATTTGTTTATCTATGATAAAAAAGAGTATCACTGCTTCTAGATTTCCTACAGGAGGAAACACACACACACACAGTATAGCTGGAGATTTTTAGAATTCCCGAGGTAAGCTTTGGTAAAATTGTTCGAAGATGGGCCACCATACAAAAAATCTGGACTGTTTGCTGCTTGTCTCATTTCCTTTAACTCTGGTTCCAGATGCGATACTACATTTTTATTTCAAGTAGGAGTCATTAATACATGTACTGTTTTCTTGTATATCAACCTATGTGTGTGTTTGTGTGTAAAAATTAGGAGAATGCATTGTACTTTGTGTCTCTCTCTATCCCTTAGTTAGTGGTAGGTAAGGAAAGTCTATCCTTTGGGTGACTGCTGTTCACCTATCACTGAATGGGTACCTGGAGTGAATGCTAACCTACTGTTTGTGTAAGTAGAAAGGCACAACATAACAAACTGCTTATGGTACAGTTTTGCTAAGATGCTTTCCTAGGAATGGAGAATTCACTTTAGGTTCTCAGGAATCCATACAATTATAGAGTGAATCCATTTAGTTCCCTGGATTCCAAAATGTACTCTAGTGGAAAGCTCTTCTCTCTTCCCTATCTCTAAGCCCCCTCCCTCTCTACCCTACCCAAGAAATCCTAAGAAAAACACTGGCATTTGTATATATTAAAGCAAAGCTTTTTAGAGGTGCCTGGGTCACTTGGTTAGGGCACCAACTCTTGGTCCTCAGGGTCCTGAGTTAAAGCCTCGAGTTGGGCTTCACGCTGAGAGTGGAGCCTACTTAAAAAATAAATAAGGCAAAGCTTTTCTGGTTACAGTGAAGGTGGCTGCTCATTGTCACCTGTTTACTTTCTCCGCAAATTCCATAGCCTCAACTGTAAGGAATCTTCAAGGATTCCCTAAGAAAATGCCATTGCAGTGCCTAATGTCTTACAGCCAATTTACAGCCTGGGAGGAAAGGCCCCTTCCACTCTCACATCTTTCTGACATTTAGTGCCACATGGAAACAATTACAAAACCCAAGCACAGTCCTCAGACAAGGCCCAATCTCTCTAGATTTTTCAAAGCACCTTTCTCAAAATAGGATATCTTACCCAGTGAAAAGGGCATGAACGCTTCTTTCTTGATAAACTTTCCAGTAGAACTGAGGAAATGGTTGGGATTAAATGTGTCTGGCTTTTCCCACTGTGTTTGGTCCCGAAGTACAGAGGTCAGCAAAGTGATGACCTCAGTGCCCTAGAAATAGAAGCGCTATTAATGACAGACAGTACATTCCTTCTGAAAAAAGAGGATCTTTAAAAATGTGTGAAGGTCTGGGTTGCTCATTTTCCAGAAACAGTATGTTCTTGAAGAATATGGAAGGAGAGGAAGTAGAGGGGCAGCAGGCAGGACTTGAGATTGAGTGTGGAACATGCACTTACTCAACCACATTTTTGTTCAGTACCTACTAAAAAACACAAGCCTTGGACTCAGGACTGGAAATTGTTTCTTACTTAGTCATGTGTTTGCTATGTGATAATGGCATGTTTTTAGCTTTTGCTATATCCCAGTTTCTAAACTTATATGAAGGGAGTTAAATAATTCTTATGTGGTGACTTGTGAGCCTCAGAGGCAGTGATATGCAGGACAGAACCTGGTACGGTTCCTGGCAGGTCTGAGGCTCAGGGAAGTTTTGCTCCTTTGCCTCCAGGGACTGTAAGAGTGGACAAGCTAGATCTCACAAGCCCATCAAAACAAATCCTCAAAAGTCAGCTACCCCCCCCTCCACAGCTTGCTACATGCTCTGAGATAACTGAGGACATCAAGGAAAGGACCTCTGATTGTGATACAGGAAAGAGTATTCTGAAGACTAAAAATAAAATAAGAGTAGGAAGAAAAGACTGCCTCTCAGCTAAGGACAGTGTTTACTCTTCACCATAGTTAATCATAGCTTCCTGTCCAAGAAATCTTTGGAATACTATCATTGTGGTTAGCTGGCTTAGCACATGAATCGGTATAGTTTTTGAGTCATGAAAAGCAAACAACTACTTTAAAGTGTTTTATTTTAAAATTACCTTTGTTGCTTTCTTTTTTATTTCTAAGTATATGTACCCAGACATTGTGGATTTTTCCTCCTCCTAAGAACTGTGCTAGATATTTCCATTGGAGCTCAGTGAAATCATGGGACCTAGCACCCAGTAGCATGGTAGGCATGTTAGACCCCTTGTACCTGTGAAGCTCTGATACAGTGCTCTACGTAGCTTGTAGCCAGATAGATAACTAGAACTAAAATCCTGCCATTATTACAGCTTCCTTGGTGGTTTCTTTTCCTTCTTTCTTTGGTTATATTTGTTTTCATGAGCTACTAATCTGATAAATTCAGTCCAACATGTGTTTCATGCATGCTGAGAAGAGAAACTCCAAACATGAATGTTGCCCCCTTGTTTGCAGGGTATGCACAGGGGGTAGCAAGTGATAGTGTGGGCAGGGGGTCCACATAACCAGTGGCCCCTGTGCATTCATGTAGAGATGGCTCAGAAGCAGTGACCAGACAAAACTTTAAGGAAAAGAATTAGTGCTGTGGGCAGACGCTGGTCCTCTGCCAATTCCCGCCTTCAGTATACTTTTAGCAAAGATCTATTCTTTCCACTGGCAAAGCAAAGAATGCATCTAGATGCTGTAAGGTTGAGAAGCAGAGGGCCTGAGCATGTTTCTGTGTGAGGAAGGAAGTGGGGCTGGAGGTGCTGCTGTCAGGGGCCCTGCGTGGAGTGAACCGCTCTCTAAATGGTGGCACCCCTTTCCAGGGATCTGGCGGTGATCTGGCCCCCCTACCTACCCATTTCTCTGTGCACCCCAATTTCCTCAACTACCACGTAAAAAATAATAATACCTTTTAAGGTTGCGCAGAGTAATTAGCACCTATTCTGTCTACACACAAACTGACACACTCAGTTCACCTTTATTGGCTGGTAGGAAGGGAGCAGGAGGCTGAGATCACCTTTGGCAGTTTATTGCAGCGCTTCTGTGATTTTTGAGCAGCTGACATTTTTTTCCCTCTTCCCTCACTTCCCCTTCTTAAACCCTTACCTTGGGGATATAGTAATTTTTAAACATAACGTTTGTGGTTGTTGCATGAGGTAAGCCCGTGGGCAGGATATTAGCAAATCTCTGTACTTCGTGAATGACAGCATCTGTGTATGGCATTTGAGTTCGATGTGTAATCCGAGGCTGAGCTGACCCCACAACTTTGGTGATCTCATCACAGACCTTTTCTGGATAAAACACAGAATGATTAGAGTGGGGGTAGGGTGGGGGATATTGGAACAGTCTTCTCAATTTTCCTTCCATGTGAAAATCAAACCTAAGCGCTGAGTTCTGACTCATCTTTTCTCTAATCTGCTTCCACTCTTAGACCTCTATTCCTGAGGGTCCTCTGGGGACCTACGAGGAGTGACACCTGCAGACCATCTCCAGAAGCCTGAAGAGCAAAATCTCCTTTCTTATGTCAAAAGGAAACTAAAGATACACACTGTCCTTGAGGGTACAAATTAAAGGTATCCAGTGTGGCCATAGAAGTCTGCTTTTTCCACCCAAGAGATTTCTGAGTCCTTCCTTCAGGCAATGCTCTGAATCTTAGGAGACCTACTCTGGACCTCAGGATATCGCATCATGAGCAGAAGTGCCCAGCACAGCGTGGTGGCTGTGGTCTCTGTACCAGCCGCAAAGAGGTTACTAACAAGTGCCACCAGATTTTCATCACTGAAATAGGTTGTAGATGTATCTTTCTCCTGAAAAGGGAAAAGGAATCATTAGTGATGAAATATTTTTATACTGGTCAGTCATGGCAAATAACCCAACATGAATTTAAAAAAACTAAGCCTGGCATTCTTTCAACAGAGTGGATTTTTTTTTATTATGAAGATGTGCAGAATTTTCGGGTAAAGTACATTCCAAGTGTTAATCATGATAAATAATTCTAACAATGGGAAAGGCTCTTTGACATTTGGAAATTAGTTTTTAACTGAGTGATTAGAATATGCCCAACATTGTTTCTTTTTTAAAATTGCATTAAATCTTTGTGTTAATGAAACACATTTCCGATGCAATAAAAGGAATACTGTACTAATTCTAAAAGCTAACATTGGAGATCACTATGTCTTTTTTTTTTTAAAGAGAGTGATGTGAAAAGCAGTAGAAAATACTCAAGAATGGAAAATGTAGTAAATACCATTCTTTGTAGAGTACATATCTGCCATTATTAACTTAATTGAATCCAGTGATCTTTCTGCTTTGAAAGAAATATTTTTCCTCAAGATGCTATTAATTAAGCAAAATAATAAACAATAGGCTAAGGTAACCCCTGAGCAAAACACTATTACCTCCTGCTGTCTGACCAAAAAGGCATCAATGAAACTTCTTGGATCGTTTTTGTCAAATTTATGCTGATGATCTAGGAAAGTCATCCTTATAAAAGCAAATAATTCATCTCTATTCCTGAGTACTGTCTTATGACTTTTTAGGAGGAACCCCAAAACTGGAAACATATTGAAAAGCTGAAAGAATAGAAAACAACATAGTTAAATGTATATATGTAATGCCTGCAATCCTGGGAATGATACCATTATTTCTAGAAGCATTATAGAAATAATATCTCATTTAGACTTCCATTATTTTTAAAGATTTTATTTATCTATTCATGAGAGACACAGAGAGAGAAAGAGAGAGAGAGAGAGACAGAGACAGAGACAAAGGCAGAAGGAGAAGCAGGCTCCCTGCAGGGAGCCGGATGTGGGACTCAATCGGTACTCCGGAATCACTCCCTGAGCAGAAGGCAGACACTCAACCACTGAGCCACCCAGGCAGGCATCCCTAACTAAAATCTTAAAAAAAAAAAATTTTTTTTTTTTAGTTAAAGATTGAACTATTTATTTACTTATTTTTAATTTATTTAAGTTCAAATAATTAACATAGTGTGCATTATTAGTTTCAGAGGTAGAGTTCAGCAATTCATTGGTCTTATATAATACCTAGTGCTCATTACATCATCTGCCCTCCTTAACGACCATCACGCAGTTAGCCCATCCTTCCACCCGCTTCCCCTCCAGTCACCTTCAGTTTGTTTCCTGTTATTAAGAGTCTCTTATGGTTTGTCTCCTTCTCTGGTTTTGTCTTTAGTTTTCCCTCCCTTCCCCTATGCTCCTCTGTTTTGTTTCTTAAATTCCACATGAGTGAAATCATATGATAATTGTCATTCTCTGATTGAGTTAAAAATAAAATTAGACATAGTCACCTGTTCCAGTCTTCTCTCATACTCATATTTAGAGTAAATCTGTACTTATCATAAGAGAACCCAAATTCGGGCAGCCCGGGTGGCTCAGGGGTTTGGCGCCGCCTTTGGCCCAGGGCGTGATCCTAGGGACTCGGGGTCGAGTCCCACATCGGGCTCCCTGCATGGAGCCAGCTCCTCCCTCTGCCTGTGTCTCTACCTCTCTGTCTCTCTGTTTCTCATGAGTAAATAAATAAAATCTTAAAAAAAAAAGGAGAGAGAACCCAAATTAACAATAACTACCAATAACATTGTTAGTTGTCAGTTGTGCTATTGAAAATGGGAACTATTTGACAAGGCTCTTAGTCCCAACATTCTAGAAGATAGCAACTTTATTGCTCATGAATATAAAAAAATGGATTGTAGCACTATTTTGAACTTCCATGAATCAGAATAAATGCTAAAGTTTTATTTAATACTTTTTCTAGGGATCCCTGGGTGGCGCAGCGGTTTGGCGCCTGCCTTTGGCCCAGAGCGCGATCCTGGAGACCCGGGATCGAATCCCACGTCGGGCTCCCGGTGCATGGAGCCTGCTTCTCCCTCTGCCTGTGTCTCTGCCTCTCTCTGACTATCATAAATAAATAAAAATTAAAAAAAAAATACTTTTTCTAGTACTTGATAGTTCTTTAAATTCACTCTTCTAAGTGAATTCTACTGAGTATTTCTTATTCATTCGTGGTTTACCCCATAGTCGATTCATAACTAGTGGTATAGGTAAAAAATGAATGGCCAAGATTGTAAAAATTTACTGAACTCATATATTGCACTATTTATTGATATGATTCACAATCCATGCATCATAAGGTATTTGATGCAGTAATTTGTGATGGAAGAATTATCAGATGTGTTAACCAACCAGGCTTGTAACATCTCTGTATTCAGAATGTTCCAGAAAGCGTACATTTTTGAAATGGCAAATACTTTCATTGTCTCTTGAATAATACCCTAGAGGAAGTAAAATTGAATAGGGAAGATACAGTTACCGCAATCCTAGGACCTCCAATGAGCTTCACATTTTCACCAATCAAGGTTAAGAGTCTCAGGAATTGGGTGTCTTGGTAATCAAACCGTTTTCCGAGCAACACTGACACGATGACATTAGCAACAGAAGCATTCATTACTGTTTTGACCTCAAAGGGTTTTCCTACAAGAGAATTCATTAATCAGATTAGGAATGCTCACATAAACAGTATTAAACCAGTCCTGGAATGATTGGGACAGACTGTCAAGAAAAGACTTCATGGAGGAATGGATTATCGGTGACCATGCCTTTTAAGAAGAGGTGAGAGTAGATGGGCCTTGAAAAATATCCAGAATTTGATTAAAATACTGAAAGTATATGTTAGCAATAATCTACATGTGTCTCATTTAAAGGAATTAAAATGTGCCAGGTGAGGGACATTTCCGTGTGTGTGTAGCAAATGTTAATGCATAACATCTAAGAAAATATCAACCTAGAAGGCATCAATCAAATTCAAAAATTTAAAATAGGATATTTATATGATTAAGATGATTTTACTTGAAAGAACTTCATCCAGAGCCTCTTATTTTTAGCCTCTTCTGTTATGGGACCTGTTTTCCTCAGCATCATTGAAAACTATTTAGATTATTAAATATGTATCAGTGGAAGTACACTTATTTTTGGCCACTGGAATGCTAAGACTTACTCCTAACATCAGCACCTATCTTAAATGTGGAGGCTGAAGACCTGGGGTAATTTCTATAGAGAATATATTTACTTCTTAATATATACATGTGAGGGTATGTGAGATGCTATGTTCACAAAGTCCTGAGAAATTGTTAGAAGCTTAACCATGGAGAAGGAATAGATGTTTTCCTATAGATACTCTCTCCAAAGTGCTGACAGGCTCTCTATGTATACAGGGACTGCTAATTTAGCACGTGGAGCCCTGACCCTTGTCTCTTTTCTGTATTCATCTCAGGCTTGTCTACCTTTGACCATTTTTCTTCATATTACTACCTGCGTCAGAAGAAAGTAATTCTGAAGATAATATTCAAAGGAGCATATTTTTAGTAAGGAATGAATTCAGTTTATTAAAGAAATGAGAAAACTTTTAACATGAAGATAATTAAATATTAAAATAACATGGAACTAACTCTCTATCATTTAAAGAGATCAGATACCATATCTATTATGGAAGAACTATTCCAAATTAAAGGAGGCAAAAGAGACGTGACAACTGAATGTAATGCATGTGTCAAGATTTTCTCCTGCTATTTAAGACATTAATGGCACAACAGCAAAATCTGGCAAACTAAGTTCTGTGGATTACTAAGTCAATACTAATTTCCTGAGTTTTGAAAAATGTACTTTGGGGATGGGAGAGAATGTTTTTGTTTATTTTTAAGAAATACATTGAGGTGTTTAGGAATAAAGGGAGAGCATGTCTCCAAAGTACTTTCAAACAGGTTAGAAAAAGAGAGAAAGAGAGATGGCAAATGTAAAATGTTGACATTTGGGGTATGTTATAGAAGAGTATGATTTGGGGAATTATTTGTAAATTCTTGGAATTTTCCTGTGAGACTGAAATTATGTGTAAATAATAAAATATAGCTTTTGGGTTCTTTCTCATGAAAAATAAGACATGGTTTAATTCATTTTACGCACCTCTGTGAGACTCAAAGCTCCATATGAGATGTTGGCATTCCTCTATAATGGTATCTTCTATGATCCGCTTGCCCATTCCAAAGTTCCGTAAGGTGGCCAAACTGAATCTTCTCATAGTTTTCCAGGTTTCACCGTGAGAGAAAACAATTCCTTATAATGAGGAGAGTGTTTTAAAATTATTTCCTCAAAGCTTTTATCATTTAATTTGCGAGGACAAATAAAAATTAAAAGAAGCTTTATCCTTCCTGTTGAAAATAAGAGACTCCCCTCTCAAAGCATTTACTTTAGAAGACTTGTAAGTAATATATAATCATATCATATGTATGTATGACTTATACATAAGTCATTCTGACTTATTTCAGATATGTCAGACTTATTTCAGGACTCATTTCAGTCCTTCTGAAGATTAGAATAGGTCTTTGGTCAGCTTTATGACCTAGCAATGGCTTTCTTAGGGACTTTGGGGCCACCCGTTTTTCAGAATACAGAAATCAAGGAAGAAAGTGCCCCTTTCAGGGCAGCCCGGGTGGCTCAGTGGTCTAGCACCGCCTCCAGCCCAGGGTGTGATCCTGGAGACCTGGGATTGAGTCCCACGTCAGGCTCCCTGCATGGAGCCTGCTTCTCCCTCTGCCTGTGTCTCTGCCTCTCTCTCTGTGTGTATCTCATGAAGAAAAAAAAAAAAGATCATTTTAAAAATAAAAAGAAAAAAGAAAGTGCCCATTTCTCCCAGATTCTGTGGGAGGGCTGAAGCCTTACTTTGGTGAGTACCTTGCCCCAAGTTCAAAACTACCTCTTATCATAAAGATATAGGAATTCTATTATTCTTTTTTATCCAATTAACACAGATGGTCACTCCAATTAACGGGGGAATCAAGGATGCACTATGTATGACAAATGGTGCTGCCAAGCTCTCTTGGTTATTGAGGACTAGTTATTGTTTCTCTTAAGGACATTTTTGTAATGGGTTTTATCTGCTTGGTTATATAAAAGAGTGGCATTTCTTTATGTTTTTGCAATTTCTTAGTAGATTGTGATAGATATCACATTTTGGTTTGATGCTTATTCAATAATAAAATTATCTTCTTTTTCTATTACCTTTGTGGAGAGGAGGATTTCTGGGCTGGGAGAAGATTTTGGTTTTAGTTCTGTATCTCTGACAAATTTATTAAGCAATTCTTGAGTTTCTACTATATGCTTACATCATGTAGGTGTGGTTAATGGATAGATGAATGATAAAAACAAAGTCTCTTTTGCTAGGGAAGAATGTAGACTATAGACACAAGAGTACCCAAGAAAAAAGTTACAGTAAATAACTACCAAGAGGTGTAACCAAGCTTCCACATTAGTGCTATATGTACTAATTTCTAGGCACACATATTGTTGTAGCATATAGTAGGTGCTCCATAAATATTTATTGAATAAAACAGCTAGATGAATTTGTGTGTGACTACAGGATATAATAATAATCAAACAAGGTTTAGAAGAGTTGGGACATATACTAACTTACAGAAAAATAAGGAGAGAGAAGGTTGCCAAAGTGGCCCACCTCTTTCCATGGTGGGATTTGTGGTAATAGTGGCATTCTTCTTGTGTTTCAGTCCCTAGTCCCCGCCCTTCCTCCATTTGCATTTGAGGTACAAGAGACAGGGGAGGACTTTCTGAGTTTGACTGATAACCAGAAATAGGAAACTAGAATAAATAAGGCAACCAAGGTGTTGGAAACGGGGCAGCGCCATCCTTGTTAGTGTCAACATGAAATCCAAAACAAGATAGATGTCTCCTGCATGGTTGTGGCCACTTTGTGTGAGGTTAAGCCTTCCTTTCAAAGGAAGGTTAGATTCTGCCCACATTCAGTTCTTATATTAATATAATATTATTTGTCTATGGATCCTGTGTGCATAAAACTCTTTTACAACAAATATGTGACTCTTTGAACTATCTCATTTTTATATTTAAAAATTTATATTTGAGAACACAGTAGTAGAATATGAAGGGCCCACAGAAATCATTGTATCTTTCAGGGAATAGCAATAGCTCAGCCATGTAATTGCGGAGAACATTAATTTAGCATTATAAGGAATGGAACTTCTTTTAAATGCTGGGACCAAAGTTTGAAATATATTTAGGTTACATGGCAAAATAACTTATTAAGGTGAAGTTATACTCCAAAATGGTTTAATGGTAACAAAAATATTATTGTTTTTCTGTTTATACAAAATTGGTTTAAAGAATGCCTGTACCAATTTGGGTGGATTAATAGACAGGGTGTGGAGCAGAGAAGTAATCATTTTCTCTTTGAACAAAGAGTAGTTTTCCTCTGAGCAGTTAAGACACTTAAGAAAAAAGACTACTTGATTCCTAAAATGAATTATTTGCTAAGGAAAAAAATATTAGATTTGACATTGATACAAATTAAAACAATTTTGTGTGTAATCATAAAATCAGTGAGTAATATATGAAGTATTGTGAAAAAGAACCGAGATGTCAGAGGCAATAGACAAAAAGTGTCCCAAATTTCTAGAAGGAATAAAAGAAGATTCTAGAAAGAATAAAAGTGTCCCAAATTTCTCCCAGGAGCTAAAGATAAGGGACTGAATGAACCGTTACTCCTCAATGCTAATTTTGTGAGATGTTAGTCGGAATTCTAAGAAAAAAATTACAAAAATGGATGTGGTATATATATATATATATATATATATATATATATATATATATACATATGTGTACACACACACACACACACAATCACACATAATGGAATATTACTCAGCTATCAAAAAGAGTGAAATCTTGCCATTTGCAACAACATCGATGGAGCTAGAGGATATTTTGCTAAGTGAAATAAGTCAGTCAAGGAAAGACAACTGCCATATGACTTCATTCATATGTGGAATTTAAGAACCAAAATGGATGAATGTATGGAAAGGGAGGAAAAAGAAAAAAAAAAAGAGAGGGGAAACAAACCACTACAGACTCCTAACAGTAGAAAACAAACTGAGGGTTGATGGAGGGAGGTGGG